TGTATTCCAGTCTTAACGATTGACATTGTCGGCAATGATAATTACTTCGATGGAGCATCTGTTCTGTGGTGTCTCGTGGCGGGTATCGTGTATCATATATTTATGTACATATCGTGGGTCATATATCTGGCATCACGTCAGGGGCGCGTGAACCTGGGGGCGGAGGGGGCTCAGCGGCAGGGGCGTGTCACGCTCCTTGCCCCGCACGTTGAGTTCATAGGTGGATCGGGAGAGGTGTACTTTGAGTAGAATGTGAACCTGATGTGATCAAAAGAGAAATGCATACTGGTACGCAAAACCGCGCCCCCTCTCGCCACCCTTGGCCGGCCAGCCACCTGGTACCCCCGAAGCCGTAACACAACGTTGCCCCCTCCTTCCTGCCCCATTACCCTTCCCACAATCAGCAGTCCGATTCCGTACCCCAGACATCCACATTGTATGGCCACCAGCCTCTGCCCATATGTGTCTCTCTTCTGCGGGTCGCCTGCCGAAATCGCATCAGACGCCACCATCGCTCCCAGCTCTGATTACCATGGATGATCGTTTTCCATCCATTCCCTTAAGCGGCGGCTGGATTCGTTTTTGCTCGCGCGCGTACGCTGGCTTGTTAATCCGCCAGGCAGTCGCACCGCAACTTATTCTAAATTACTAATCGACTGAGCCGAAGTGGAACACTGGTGACGGGTGTCCGCGTGCAGCCCACTGCTTACGACGATAAATCTCCCGCAAGATGGCAGGAGGTCCGCGCGCGGCGGCTGAGAACAATAGCTGAACCCGGGAGTGGTCAATTCGCAGTAACTTGATCCCTGGGTAAAGTTAGGTGATGTTAAGTTGATTTCGCTTGCTTTCTTTCCGTTTTGTTTCATTTCGTTTTGTTTCGTTTCATTTTGTTCAGCTCAGTTTAGTCCAGTTGGTTGTGGTGCCTACATTATTCGCTTAACCTATTTGTTTTATTTTCCAGTAACATCACGATATTGCATTAGGTTATACTAAGCACATAGCCTATTCAGTTACTTCCCAGTGACGTCACGAATGACTTCAAGCCGCAACCTTGGCGGGGATGTTCGACGTTTGAACACCTTAGAGCAAGCATCAGATATGATGAAGTAAATAGCGGTATAATAAAGTGTGACATACTGCTTCAGGCAATGAAATTGCTCTATTAAGTTAATATGTTTCTCGATATGTCATTCTTTGATTGCACCATGGAACATTTGTATCACGTTGGGGTGCTGCCAAACTAGCCGTGTAAAATTGCCACCCACGTACTCAATGGAGCTGTTCGATGAGCCAAACGTCAGGGTGTTTTGGTGTTCTCACCCTTTATCGTGATGCTCTTGCGTATTTTTTCGTGAGTTTCACGTGTTAACTCGCATGCAAACGCTCGGTTATGGTTCTGTGCTTAAGTTATTTGATTACACTCTGTATTTGCGTATACAGATTACACTCTGTAACTAGCAGTCATGCCCAAATTGTTGTATTATGTAACACAAAATGTGATTCCTGATTGAAGTTTGTACAGCTTGTTCAATAATGATTGAGAGCCAACTGACGTCCACTTAATTTGGAAAACGTTCTCACGGACGCCAGCTTTGAACAACGGCTTGACGATAATACTTCTCCTGGCCTTTATTGTCGCATGGCCTATGGTGTGACTCGATTTGAATAACGTTGTGACAGCGTCATATGTGCCTGACCTACCTTGAATAAGGCTGTACGAATATTATGCACATCTTCGTGGGCGGGTCGCTCAGAAACTAGATGGTTGTAGGCCTTAAGTGGTGCAGGGCTGTGAACTGCATAAAATGTTTTTAAAAATTATATTCAGTTCAAACCCCAAACAAATGTGAAACACCCAATAAAAGGGAGCCTCCGCATTTGTATGGGGTTTTGAACTGAGATAACCAATTTAACGATCGTCTAGCGTAGTTTACAGCTCAACCCTTTTCAAAACTTCAAACTCTGGTTCCTGATCTTGACGCCGAGAACTAGTGCGGAATATTTCGTGCAGACTTTTTCAAGGTCATCCAGGACATATATGACAAAATAGAAACGTCGCACGAATGCTGCCACTTCATAAGCGACGTGGTGCATTCTGCGGACCGTTCAAGACCGCGGAAAATATTTCTTCTTTGGGCTATTCGTGTCCGGCATACGTTATCACAATGTCTGGCATGAATATGCTTTAATTGGTTCGGTACCGAGGTGATCCGTATCATAATAGCTTCGGATACGAATGAAATTTCGTGGTGATTTATCAAGGAACTTAAGCAGTGGTATCCACCAAGACGAATACAGGAACGAGAATCGAATACGTTAAGAATATCGCCATAGCCAGGGTATGTGAATGCAAGAAAGGAATACAAAATAATGAACAAATGTGCAAGAACATCACGAGAAACCGCCAAAACACGTGCACACAATGATATCAGATTTATATACGGAACGCACCGATTAGCACGGCACCTCTCAACAAATTGAAGTGCCACTAGTGGGTCAACCTGTCCACTTCGGTGGCAATTTCGCACGGCCATTCTAGCAGCCTCTCTGACGCATACAATACAAACATTCCATGACAGAATCAAGCGGCAACGCATTGAGGAGCATATTCACTAAAAAGTGTCACTGTGTTATCTAGGAAAGCCTTTTGTACTTAAAAACAAACCAATAGTTACAAGTGAGCTTATTTCATCATTTCTCACATCTGTACCAATATCTTCAAATAAGGAACAATGCTCTTAAATGAACGCTGACATTATGCTTTTTCTTGATTTCGAGACACGCGTGGTGTCTACCGCTTGCAGTAGCTGAACGGTCCGCTCGTGGATAAAACGGTATTGCACGGCTGTGTAAAGGTCGTGAGCATTGTTTCATCACTAAATGTACAGCGTTAGTCCTTATTATTTGAAAATTGCATCTTAGGAAAAAAACTATGACTTCCGCCATTATCAATTTTGTTATATTGACTAGGTAACATGGAATGCTTTCACTGCGGCCTGATTATCAACGGTATTTTCTTCTCCAGAAAATACGATATATGTACAAGATGTTCATTTCAAGAGTGATAAATGCATTTTTTGGACCCTGGGTCCCTTTTGGGTTCCATCGCATGCAGCAGGAGTGCATTATCGGTGACGTGATTTGTTTTGTGACTATGATGTCCTCTTTATGCACGCATACTAAACCAATAAAGTATGTACCAAGAACTGTCCTGAGTTTGTAAATTGCTTCAGAGCTCGGTAAAAAAATTGGCTTCGGGTAAAGCTTTGCCGCTACATTTCTGTTACCTGTCAGAACTGCTGAGGAAAGTTTCTGACTGCCATTACTGCTGTTCAGAGAGCTTCTATGGGCAAAGAACTTGACCATTTGTTAAGGTTATGTTCTTGCATAAAATCACATAACTTTTAAGGAAAGAACTTCTTGCCCAAGCACACAACTGGTCCGTACGTGTAAGGCAAAGTTGTCCTTTTTCGAGTAGACTTCAATGGTCCACCACGTAGGAGTTATGGACGTAGACATTTCTCGTAGAACTTTAAGTCGTCTCACGTTTGCTGCCGAGCATGGGGCGCTAAGTTTTGTATGTAGCAGTCGGGTCGTCAGTGACTTATGACTTCAAAAGTTCAGCCGCCCACAAGATTTGACCGTGGAGGAGCTGTTAGTGAAAGCGATATCATGCGGAGTAAAAGTTTTGACGTGTGAGTAATGCTATTGTAACATGTGCGGACGCTTTGAAGTGTGTAAATTTCCGGGAGTTGGGAGGCTTCAGCCGCCTCGCCTCTCCTCAGCGATTTACGCGTCTCTGCCGGTGGTGCGCCAACATCGCGGCGCGGTAGTCATGGCAACCGCTTCATGCCATCATTGCGCAGACCAGTGTTGTATAAGTATCGCGGCGTGCTAGCCATGTCACAGCCTTACTGCAGTGAACAAAGGCAACTGCGCAAACAAAAATTTCATCTTTGCTCAGGTTCGTTGCTGGCCAGGTGCTAGGATTGCGACTGAGCTAGGAAATAAGACCGAGCTCGGATCTCGACTGAGCTAGGAAATAAGATCGAGCCCGGATCGCTATTGCCTCCTAGATTGCAATGGTCATTTTCGCTCTCACAACGCTGTGAGAGACAAAAAATTTCGGATGGATCTATTTCGTTTTATGGAGGTCAAAACGTGTCCAAATGTTTTATTGCAACATTACAAGCACGAGAAATGACATTCTTCAAAGTGGGACTAAGTTCAATAATGTTTGTAATCACGCATCTTCTCCAGTCAGCAGTTTGCCCGGGAAAACGTCAGGAAAGGCTGGAAGGTTTTTTTTTTTCTCTCTCTCTCTCTCCTCTCTCTCTCTCTCTCTCTCTCTCTCTCTCTCTCTCTCTCTCTCTCTCTCTCTCTCTCTCTCTCTCTCTCTCTCTCTCTCTCTCTCCTCTCTCTCTCTCTCTCTCTCTCTCTCTCTCTCTCTCTCTCTCTCTCTCTCTCTCTCCTCCTCTCTCTCTCGCTTCTACGTCGTCTCTCTCTCCATCTTTTCTCTCTCTCTCTCTCCACCTCTGCCTCCCTCTCGCTCCTCTCTCTTTCTCTCTCCTTTTCTCTCTCACTCTTCCTCTTCCTCTCCCTCTCTCGCTCTCCACTCCGCGACCCGAAACCAGAAGGGATATACAAATCGGATTTTTTGCTTTCTGTCCACGGAGAAAATTGAACACGATTTTATAAAAGCTCTAGCAACTACTTGAAACATCAATCACTTCTTGTTTACCATCTGTTGTAAATTTTTTGATGAGCAAATACCCATCGTCGGATGATTGCGCCTAACGCTGCCTAGAATGTAAACAGTGGGCAACGCAAAAAAGCTGCTGCTTGGTATCATGCGTATGTAGTGAAGTAGAAACATTTCTCAAACTAATGACTGAAGAAAATCATGCAACGTTGTATCGTGTTTGCTTTGGTGAAATTAGACCTTTATAGACAACCACACGCCATTTTGTCTTTGAAATGCGTGCGGGAAAACTCCTCACCTGCTTAATTTGTCCCATGGTGTAAAATCCGTACCCTTTCCGTTTGCTTCGGTAATGAAGCACCATTCCTGAAGCGGTTTCGCTCTCACAAAAAAAGGACGGAGGCCGCATCCTTGGGTATGAAAACTTGAGGTATTCATGGAGATTGTCCAGCCCTGAAATGAAAAGAGCAAGTGAGTGTGTGACTCGCAGCACAAATACTGTAAATTCCAGCTTAGTTATCTGGGTCAGACACATATCCTGTACCACCAGCACACAGGCTCCCTGGCACGATATACGCGCGTACCCAAGTGCGCATGCGTACGACGGTTTTTGGATATTAGTGGCAAATGGCTTAATTCTCTGTGTATCAGGCGACCGTACCAGCAAACCGAGCCTAGTTCTCACAGACGCCCATCAGCCAACCTGCTTTCCTCTGCCGCATGAAGTCCTCCAGGCTGACGCTCTTGCCCGTATCACTGTCTTATTCTCTTAGGTCGGGGCGTGCACAGGTCCTTCCTTTTCGAGTCTGGATTAAGCGAACGTCACTGAGTGAACGCTGCGTTCCCTCGGACCATGACAGCAGCCAGACGCCGCCAGAGCCAGGCGCTCTCCCGTCGATCGGCCGCCGAGAAGCCAGCCCAGCCCCAAGACTTTCAACAAACTTTCTCGTCGATGGGCGACAGGCTTCGCCAGCTTTGCTTGCGACTGCTTGTAACGGAAATGACTGAGTGAGAGTCAGGTATTTTCTTCCTCTCGGCATTCGGCTTTTTTAGTTGTGGCGCCAGCGTTTATCGCGGAGGGGACAAGGTTAGAGGGGACAAACGTATTGATGCATGTCGTCTCCCATGCCAAACTCTTATCATGGGCGAACGGAAATGCGGTCATTCCATCGCGCTTTTTACCCTCGCGCCGATAAATGTCGGCGGGTTCCAGGATGTGTGGAATTCCAGCCGCCTGTAATGGGGGCTTAATCACGTCATTGGTTGCTGCGTGTCTGAGCGGTCGTCCAGCACTCAGCACCGGAATTCAGCACTCGATGACAAGTCCGTGCGTGATACCCCTTGCTGTGCTTCTCTGAGTCGCGTCTGTGTTTATGTGGTTCACTTAATTCAGCGCCTTCACGGAGGGCAATCACAATCAGGAGCGTGTTCCCGTCCGGCCGCGTTCCAAGGTCGCCGGATGCTGTGGCGTGGAGCCAAGTGCCGCTTTCTTGAGCCCCGGCTCTCGGTGACCTAGCTTGGCCGGTTTGACTTACGCTGGGGAGCAAAGGTTTGAGGGACTGATCCGCTAGGACTGCATCCAAGGCATGCTGCCTTTGTCCCTGTTTGATCCTTGGGAAGCATCTGCGTCACCCGCTGCGGTGTGCCAGTCCTCATAGAAGCACCGAGGTCCGTCATTACGTTTCGATACAGTAACTCAAGTGGCATCAACTTTCAAGAGCTGTACGCCGTGGTGGAGTGATACTACGTAGCTAGATAGCACCAGATTGGTGGTACGTCGTAGTCCTAGTCCATCGCATCTTGTACACGGCACCGCTTATTCCCAGCTAGAATCATCAAAAAAACGTTGGTCGTTGGTAATTACGCAATGCCGCAGACCTGACTATGGCGTCTAGCGACTTCAGATGTCTGACTTCTGCAAACGGGCACTGGCCTTAGCACGCATTGCAGTTTTAGAATCCATGGGCGGCTTTTAAGAAGGAAGAATGTTAACTGGGGAGCGATGTGTAACAAATAGCCAGTCATGCGCCTCAGATCCACTTTTTTGCAGTTCAGCGCGTTCTTTATTGCCGCATCAGTCAGCCGCGCTCCCAGAATCGTCGCTCCGGACATGTCAACAACAGCTGATCCGGGAATAAGTTACGTGGCTGGCGTGCCCTTGCGATCCTCGACGGATCCCCCCCCCCCCACCCCGATCTTACAACATCGCCTCAGATTTCCGCAGTTGATTTCCAACCCAACGCGGACGGGTTCGGGATGAGATGTTCCATATCCTGCCACACGTAGTTGATGTCGCCTCCTCCAAACACCATCATCGAGATGTCATAAACTGAATGGCCACTCGAGACTTATGGCAGCGAAATCTACAGCCGAGAACACGGCTGCACATTCTGGCGTCATGGCAAAGAATCACGGGCGAGCACAGGGATGATAGATGTCGATGGCAGGCAGACGGTGAAACGACTGGCAAAGCTGCCTGCAATGCATCTGCTAATCTCTCTTTCCCTCAAAACACTGGTTACGTCTCTCTTTCCCTCGAAACACTGGTTACGTCTCTCTTTCCCTCGGGACACTGGTTACTTTTTCACTAGAATACTTCTCACTCAAAGATGTATCATAGCGCAATAACAGAACTTGGTTGAAACATCAATAAGAATTGGATGAGCAAAACATGATGTGGTGCGGCAGGCAGTCAAAACTGGTCATGCCCACACCCTTCCATTTCGCG